CAGCCTACAGTATAGAGAACACATAGGCTACACACACAGATTGACACAATAGTGCAATAATATATATGCAATATATTACAGGAGAATCCAGACCACAGTCACGTCTCACTTTCTCAGCTGCAGTGCCAAAGAGAATATAAAAGTTGAATCTGTCACAGGGCAGCCACAGTCCCATAGACCTGTAGACCGTCGGCCTCCCGCCTGCTTTTAACCTGATGGTATGATCTCTGTTATCACACGCGACTGGTCGCATGCACACACACATCAACACAGCGGTCAGTCAGTAAATGAAACAGGAGAACGATGCTGTAAAATTACAGAAATCTTCATGATTAAGGGACACCGTGTTACTACTAACAGTGCCGCCTTTATATCACATCATATCGTCAAATCACAGCTACCTTTCCAAAGTTAAGTCTGTTTTTTAATAAAAGTAATCATACCATGTAGGAAAGCAGAAGATGCTTTTGTATGGGAATAATCTGGAAAATAAAGGCCCGTGTACTCATTTTAGGTGGACATATCTCCAGTTACTCAGAGCAACCAGAGCTTCATGATGATAAACATAAATCCACACAGTGCTCTGAGGAAATGCAAATGCAAAACAAACAATCCAAAGTGCCCAAAGGCCTATATAAAACTTTAATCCTGTTGCCTTAATTGTGGATTTTTTCTTAGACAAAATCATTTATTCTTTGCCCTTTGTTTCTAATGCAGATCATTTTTCTACTCTGTATTACAGTAGTTACTGCTGTGAATAATAAACAGTTTCTGATGCAGCACTTTTAGTACACTGTAACTGATTTTTGAACATTTTGAACAGTATTTTACTGTAGTAGGTGCAGTAAAATACTGTATATATACTTTACAGTAGATTACTGTAAATAGCAAAGAATTATGGAAAATATTTCCTCACTACTGTAATTCTTCTCTACTGTGTGTTCTCTCTACAGTGACACTGAGTGTCACTGTGGAGAAGTGACACTGAGTGTCACTGTGTCTTGTGGAACAAATAGAGCAGGGGTAAGCAAATAAGTCTGGCTTCCGGCCAGATTTATTTCAAGCTGTTACATGGCGGGCTAGAACATAGTAAAATTATTTGAAATGCTTGGATACTCGTGTGCACGTTTAGCTCAGTCGGTAGTTTTCAGGACTCCTGGGCCCTGTGTAAAGGTTCAAATTGACAGTAAGGTTTTTAGAGGTCTATTTAACATTAATAACATCTCATTCATTTCGTATTTAATGAAATTATGTCCAAACACATGACGATATGCAAAAAAATGTGTTTAGTTTTACAGTCTCAAAATCAATTTATAGTTAATGTAAGTTAAAGGTGCGTTGTGTAGTTTTAATTGGCTTCTAGCAGTAAGGTTGTCTATAACATGTAGTTATCAACTGATCGGCGTTTGCAAGCAAGTTAACATTATCTAGTTTGAACCAACTAAAACACAAAATCGCACTGTTTCACATGATCTGCAGTAATGTTGTGCACATAAATGTCATAGACTTTGTAAAACAATGGATTTTCGCAGAAAATCCAACCAGACCTTCACATAGAAAACAGTAGGCCTATTCAGGCTGTTATAGGCAACTTAGAAAGTTGGTGGATGCCTCACTTTTTAGGTGAGGTTATAAACTGGTCACATATAGGCAATAAAAATGTTATTAATATATTTAAGTTCCTTTTAAAAACTCCACAATGTCCCTTTTAAAGGTGTGTTGCTGACATGACCGGTTACAGCTTAAAGTGGCGCGTCAGTCTTAAATATGTTGTAGAGGTCTTGAAAAAGGTCTTAAAAGGTATTGAATTTTATTTTACGTAAAATAACTAATATCACAATATGGAATGTTGTAAGATTTTCTTCAGACAAGAATCCCAAGTGAATGAATCCAACGGACTTTGGTGTGTGAAATGACAAGACATGTCTCAACAACTATTGGATTGATTTCTAGAAAATGTTATGTTTTGCAGGCATTGGGTCATAAACCAAATTCCTTTCAATCTCAGCTCACTTAATTGATCTGTGCTTGCTGTACCATCCTGCAGGTACCTTCTGTGGTCTTTATCATGCCATCACTCTTCACATTAACAGGTGTCTCTTTGTACTTTGAATAAGTAAATGTTTTACAATTAAAAAGCATATTGTAAGGACAATGTTCATGTTGTAATCTTTTGGGTGAAATATGTGGTTTGCAGTGCTGTCCTGAAATTGGATTGTAAGTTAAAGGTTTTTAAATGTGGATTTTGTTTAATGGAAGTTACTTAGAAGTAACTATTAGTTAAACTAATTCAAAACATTAAATTACATTACAGTAAATGAAAGTACTGTAAATGACAATACGGTAATAATACTGTAAATAAATGAAAATACAGTAATGATACTGTGAATGAAATTACAGTAATGATACTGTAATTAATTTACAGTAATGATACTATAATTTCATTTACAGTAATGATACTGTAATTGAATTACATTAATGATACTGTAATTGAAATTACAGTAACGATACTGTAAATCGAATTACAGTCGGCATCCAGCTGCCAGTAAGTTACTGTAAAATTTAGGTAATTTAAGTTGTTACTGTGATGTAGAGACAGAGCTCAGTTAAAACTTTATGGATGGAAGATACTTTTGTTACAGATTAATAACTCACCACTCTGAAACTCTTGCTCCAGTCCATGTTGCCAAGCTGGTCGGCAACATGTAGCCTACAGCTGAATCGAAGCTGTTTACCTTCTTTTCTCTGACTGAGAGAAAGGTCTCTGCTTCTGATTGGCTAGTAGTCCTGAACTAGGAACTGCACATGTGCAACTCCCAACAAAGATCATTTAGAGACCAGATGTATCACTCCATAGCTAAAACGAAGCGTTCAACACAGGGTGAAAATAGGAGCTGCAGCAATGTGCAAGTAGGACAAAAAATATGATGTTTTTTGAAAGTTAAACCATGTAAACCTGTTCTGGTACAACCCTTAAATAGGATTTTGAACCTGAAAATGATACCACCTCTTTAATAGACTACATGTTTTCAAAAAAAGGAGCTTTACACACAACCTTATCAGAGTTAATGATAATATTAGCAGTGTTGGGAGTAATGTGATACAAAAGTAATGTATTGCTTTTTGTTTTAAGGCAGCAATATAATGCATTACAAAAAAAAAATCTGTAATATTATACCTGTTACAATCTCAGGAACGCGCGTTACAACGCATTTTAACCTGAAATGAGGTGGTGTTTTGTTTTGTTAATTATTCACCAACACAGAGAAAATTTCGGCACCAGAAAAACAAATCCATGAGTAAAAGAGTAACGTTGTTTCCTGTTGTGGGAATCTGATGGTCTAGTTTGTAGGCAGGGTGCAAACTACGGGGGAGCCCGGCTCCTCTAGAAGGTAGCTCCCCTGATGTATCATGCGTAAATAAAGATTTCTATGTATTTATGCTTTAACAAATTACTTTCATGATTAGAGAGGCTAGATTCAAATAATCAATGGCGTTATGTTGCTGTACCTGTAAATGCTGCAGAATCTTTCTAAAGTGGGAGAAGATTCGTCCTATTTCACCCTGCTAATCAATGGGTTAATTTTTATGACAATGACCCATCCAATTGGCAGATATAACTCTGCACATCACTAGAACCCACCTATGCCGACACCTTCCTATCAGAATAATGTGCCCATTAAATTCAAGTGAAAGTAACTTAAAAGTAACGCATAAGTAGTGTAAAGCATTACAATTCAGAGACAGTAATACTCTAATATAACTAATTAGTCTCAAATGACAGTAACTATAATGTATTTGGAAGTAACTTGACGAAACAGCATATTAGTACATTTTTTCACGCCAATTTAAGCACTCTATTGTCAACTTTAATCATATAAAACGTAATTTTGGCTAGTGAAAATGCTGGTGGCTAGTAACTTTGGGAAAAAAGTGAGCAAAAAAGTTCATGTCAAGCCCAGGCTATGATACATAATACCCGTGGAGGTGATGTGCTGCAAGTAAGCTACCTAATTTTACTTTGAAAATGTAACCACAAAGCAGGGTAGGCCTACTTGCTCTGGCCCTTGCTGGGTAAAACGTGACAGTGACAAGCGCTACCTTTCACCCAAACTTGAACATTTTTCAACTCACGGCGACCCGGGAAAACAAATGTTCAGCGCCCAGTGTGGGAAAGACGCTCAGCACCTCGTTACACTGCTGCCGTTTTTACCATGTTGTAAAAATGTGGAGCTAACATTGCAATGAATTAAAAAAAGGTCAGTTTGTTCAGCAAAGACAGGCAGATTTATGATGTTATTTTTAAATAAACTGTTTCACTCACATTTCACATTAATGATGTATTCAGATGTCCTCCTCCCCAGCTCATTCTCAGCTGCACAGTAATACTCTCCAGAGTCAGAGGTATGGATGGAGCTGAAGACAAGCTGTGGTTCTTCACTGAGCAGAGTTTGGTTCTCCTTGTACCAGGTGTGTTTAGCTGCTGGGTTAGCATCACTGCTGCAGGTCAGAGTCACTGAACTGCCCTCCACTATCTCAGCAGAGGGACTCACTGACACAGAGGGAAGCTTTGGAGCATCTGGAGAAGAGATGAACATGAATTATTTAAAGATGAGAATATGCTGCTATCTATCTAAGACTGATTATGAATTTTCTCTTGTTTGTGCTCAAATCCTGCTGCAAACAGTTTTAGTTTTGTTTTAATAGTTTGAAAATGTTCCCAGTTTCACATTACTTTATCCAGCCTCTGTGGTTGATTTACCACTATTAAGAGAAAGTCTCCATCTGTCTGTCCTGAATAACTTTTCAGAAACTGGTAAATCCATTTTAAATTTTGCTATTAAAAATAAATGTTTCAAGCTAACAAATCCAATCTATCTCAGTCATAAACTGGTCAATTAACTAAAATGGGGAAATATCAAAACAATAATGTATGTATATATGTAGCAACAACATATTTTATACTTTAATATTCCTTTTCATAAAAATGTCAAATTGTTATATCACAACATGCATCTGTGTCACGGCTGTCGCTGTCACCCTTGTGTTTCCCCTTTTCCTGTCTCACCTCTACCAAGTAGGCTGTGTCCCTGGGGAATGAAGACCCGCCTACTTCCTGGTTTCTGGGGTGCTGACATCAGTCCCGCCCATTGGTTCCCTCTGTTTCCACTCAACCAATGGCTCGCCACCACATTAATTACCTCCTGCTCATAAGGAGAGTCCACCTGTTGCTCCAGGCAGCTTGTCACCGCCTATTGACTTGTGTGCCGCTGGTATTGACTGCATAGCCTGCCTGTTAGTTGTACTTTGTGTTTAGTGGAACTATCCACCTTCCTTGCTTATTAGCTGTACATTGTGTTTAGTGAAACTGTTTGCACACCTTTGTTTGTTAGCTCCACATTGGGTGCAGTAGAGAAATTCACTTTGTGTTTTGTTTACTATTGTGTTAGTTTTCACCAGGTGGAGTGGGTGCTGTGCTCTTTGTGTTCTTTTGTAGCAAGAATCAACTCTGCTTAAATCGATAGATAGGTACAGGCCTCCTTTTGAGGACCTTTTTTATTTTAACTTGGTTTGTTCACCCTCCTTTTGTTTATTGTTACCTGTCTACATCTCTCTGTTACCAATAAAAGTTACCTTGTTAAGATCTATACCAGTTGTGCCAATATGTTTATGGCCCCCACTCCCCTAGACCAACAGGGGGTCGTAACAATCTGAATATATTTTTTTACCGGTAGTAGATTTTTCTTTCTATAAATAATGCTTCTGTGTCCACATCAAGATCTAGAGGACTCCAATATGGTTATGTCTGAAATTGTAATTTGTATTGTAATGTCAGTGTGGAGTAAACTCACACACTGAAGGAGAGCGGAAATCCTCTTGTCCTTTTACAGCACAGGAGATGATGTCTCCGGGATAAAACTGATCTTTATAAGAAGATGTCTCCACGCTTTCCATTTTCTGTCCGTTCTTGAACCAGACGTAGGAAGGACGATCAGGTAGACGACAGCTGCTGTGACAAAGCAGCTCTGCCTCAGTATAATTCTTGTAGACTGTTGATCTGATCACCTGAACCTGGAGATCTGTGAAGAAAAAACAGAATATTTGTTCTTTATGTGGAACTAATCACACACAGACAGACACAGAGATATAAACAATAGAACATTATGACAATCATGTAATCATTAATCACATGTAAAATGATTTCCCATCAGGATCACTATTCAGCACATTCACTTGTCATCAGATAGTTTAAATGTGCTGTTACAGTTTGTGTTCATCAGTACCTGTGACAGTCAGAGTTGTACCAGGTAAACTACTCCTCCATTCAAAGCTCCATGTGTTGAATTTGAAGTGATACTCAGCTGAGTCGCTCTCTCTCAGGTCAGTGATTCTCAGAGTGGAGCGTCCTCTCTCTGTTTCAATGACCTGAACACGACCTGCATACTGGGAGTCTTCACTAAGGTCCTCAGGCTGTGAGGGATTCTGCCACTGAAGACTACGTTCAGGACTGAACCAGAATTTAGATCTGATATGTGTCATAACTGTTGTAAGTACAAGAAATGTCCACTGATGAGCCTTTGAAGGCACAGATGCTTCTGTCAGTGTAAGTCACTCTGTTGCATGAATGACCATAGACACCTGAAGAGAAACATTTTTGGACCATTTTTAAACCAGAGCTGGTGAGGAGTCACAATGGGAGTCTCCTTATTAAAAATACATGTACTGTAGTTATACAGTTCCACCAGATGGTGTTGTGTGAGTGGAAGATTGTGCAGTAAACTCACACACTGAAGGAGAGGGGAAAAACTCCAATCCTTTCACAGCACAGGAATAACTGTCTGGATAATAGAAGTTGCCTGAATAAGAAGAAGATGTTTCTCTCTGAATTTTCTGTCCATTCTTGTACCAGACGTAGGAAGAATGATCAGGTAGATGACAGCTGCTGTAACACATTAGGGTTGCCCAGTTAGAAACACTAGATCTTCTGACCTGCACCTGGAGACCTGGATTTGTAAAGAAGGAACAGGAATGTTAGTTTAGATTTTTCCTGTCAACATACACACAAAACATTTATAGTTGTTTCCTGGATGTTGAACATTTTTTTTTAACATATGAATGAAAATGTTACCTCTGACAGACAAAGTGACTCCAGGTGAACCAGTAAATCTTCCATCTGGTTGGTTTGTTATGAACCTGAACTTGTACTCAGCTGAGTCGCTCTCTCTCAGGTCTGTGATTCTCAGAGTGCAGATTTTGTTAGAACAACTGTACTGCAAACGACCTGCGTATCTTGAGTCTGTTTTCAGATCCACATGTACATCTCCATTCATCTGAGTAAACCAGAATGTTTCCTCAACTATAGTATCACGGCCATTTATTCTGGATGGGTATGTGAGGGTGCAGCTTATTTCCACTGTTGATCCTTTAAGGCACAGATCTGAGTAGAGGTGTAAGTCACTCTCCAGCCATACTGACCCTGAATCACTGTAACACAGAGCACATCAGAAACTACAATCAGACTCAAACATCAGGAGACAGACTTTCATTTGTTGTAGTGGTTTTTCAGTATGTAAAGCTACACTTCCTAAACTAATTTGGCTTCAGTGTCATCCTACCTAAAAGCAAGAGTGTGGAACTTACTAGTGAACGTCTTTTACATTTAAGTCCTTACCAAACGAGTTAGTTATGCTGATTAAGCTTATCACGCCAGCTACATCTCTTGTGGGAGCAACTCTGGCAACAGCAGCAAGTCAGTATGGCATAGTGTTGTAGTCAAGACCGCCCAAACCGAAACCAAATCAAGACACAGACCAGAGTTTATCGAGACCGAGACAAGACCAAGACTTTTAGGGGCTGAGACCAAGTCCAGACCAAGACCAGTTCCCCACATTACATGACACACAATAAAATGTAGAACGAGATCACAGGTACTTCTAAAGTTGATCTGAAAGACCCACATTCCCTTTAAAACCCCCACATACAAACACTGAAAGAGCTGAAATCAGCGTAAGCATCTTTATTCAATACTCCTTTTCCATGCTTACCCATCGCGGGGAGGTGTGACAGTTGCTAACAGGAACAACACAGTTTTGATTAGGGTGATTGGTTGCATTTGAAGCAATACGTTTTGCATCCAATCAAAGTTAGGTTCTTAACAAATAAATCAGACAATGCAAAAGCAATTTATTGATATTCCCAAAGTTATAGTCTTGACTGGTCTTGAAATAAAATCCTGAGTCCTCAATGTCTGAGACCGAGATAAGACCGAGTACAAATGCGGTCGAGTCCGAGATGAGACCAAGACCATCAAAAAGTGGTCTCGCGTACTACAACACTAGTACTAGAGCGTAAATATATACTGTATGTCAGAAGTGTTAAAATTTCCACACTGCAAGAGGATGTCAGTTTGAACAAGACTGTACTTAGATATTATCCTAACTAGAACTGATTGTAAGATTTATTGAGTATCACACGTTTTCTTATGTTTTAACTTATTTGTTGGGGAATGTTTGTTTTAAAAATGGGAAAATGGGAAAAAAAACTTTCAAATTACTTCTGGTTTATGCCAAAGTGAACAGAGCTATTGAGAAGTCTACAAATCATTCAGTTTTACATGAGAATATATAACGCAAAGTCAAAGATGTACATGTGACAGGCACATCATAAAGAGGGGCAGTGGAGGAACAGCCGTGTATTTAAACTGTGTACTTACTGAACAGGATAAAAAACATGAAATATTAGAGGGGTGTGATGCATTAAAATAGCGTCTGCTTTGCTCTGTTGCTTTCCTCCTCAGAGTGTAAATGGAAAATCTAGAGAAATGCAGAACATTGAGGTGTGAGAAACTACTGCGATATGTAGATAACAAAATATCTATATATATATTAGCCGTGTTCAGGATATAGACATATTAGGTACATTTTTAAGTCAACACAAACACACAAGATCAATCTGTGTGAACTTCATTTCATTTGAATTTTATCTTCTCAAACCAAGAAATCTGAATTTGCAGCGTCTGGCAGTGAATCTGACATATTCAGTAATATCTGGAATATGATTTAATTTAACGCTCCCTTCATTTTACTGTTGTTTTATTGTTGTAGTGTTTGCAGGTGGATAAGTAGCAGGGACATATCCTTTGCAGCTGGAGGCTTCATTAGTCACCAGCTAGTCAGTAAGTGTGAATGACAGTTAGAGCTGGCAGGTAGTGTACAGTGGGTTTTTAGAGACTTTTACTGAAATCAGCTGTCTGCTGCTGCTGGAAACAAGGCTGACAAGACTGTTCTGTGGAGCTGAGGGGAACTGCAGATTCAGGTGATAATTATTCTAAGTATCTTTTACATTATACAGTTAATTGACCCATTACTATTAGTGCAACTTTAAGTTTTGTTATCCGCCTTTCTTGTGACATGAAAGACGATACTGACTCATGTTATTTTCATGTTATGTTTCCTGTATTTATTATGCCATCTGAGCTGACAGTCTCTAAATGTACTCTTATGCATACAAACGCTGGCTAAAGTGAGTCTGGAGGACAGCAGAACAATGTAGGAAGTTCCACAGAGCAATTTTTATATAACAAATTATTTATAGGACTTGTAAAGTTATTACTTCTATCCACACAAATATATTTTACTGTTTTTAATGGTGAACAATATAATT